ATGGGGCTATTCACTTTTAGTGTTTCATTCTAATACTAACAATTTCAATAAAGGATTACTATTATTTTAAATTATAGATCTAATTCTTTGTTCCGTTCTTTTTTAATTTCGCCATAATTAAAAATATGTTTAGAAATTGCATTATTCAAAATGTGTTCAGAATGATCTCCGCCTTAGTTCACATATTACTTCAATCCTTAAAAAGCCTGTCCATCCCTCTATTCTTCACCTTAAAAGGTACCTTATTTTTAGTTACCGTAATCAGAGGACAAAATATTTGTTTCTTTATTTGAAAGCATTTACGTGATTCGACCCTCGCTCGTTCTTTACATAAATGATTACTAAAATTTCAATTCTCACTATTTCATTTCAGTTGGTCCTAACTAATTAATTATTTAAAATCTTTCAATCAATCGGCTTCAAGGATTACTTTATTTCTATAGTATGCCTCTATCATGCATATTATATACTTTTTAAAATATATTCATGAATCACTTGGGTTTTTTCAGTGAAAAATTTCGTTTTTACGAGGTTTTGCAAAAAATTATGTTCCGAATTTATTTATTTCCCGTTTTTACATTATTATATTATAGATATTATCCTTATAAAACCGAATCCATAATTTCACTAAATCAAACAATATCCTTCCAACTATATTTTTCGTTTTTCCTATTTGAGCAGATAAGCGCAACTACTTATTCTTTATAATATCCATTCATTCAAAATAATTTTATCCAATCACCTCAGCTTTTTAGTTTTTATTATCTAATAATTTCTAGTTTGGAGGCCAACTATTTTGTGTTCCTTTCAGCCAATTATTTCTATGAAATGTCAGTTTTAACTATTTATAAATTATATGACTAAAGACTAGATTCAGGGACGGAGCTACTTAAGTAAATTACATTATCTTTATTTTCTTTAAAGCCTACCTTTCTTAAATGAGAACTTTGAATTAATACAATATATTGTTATCTAATTTAATATGAGAAGATTGATTTTTTATTTATTGTCTTAATTTATCTAATGAACGAATTATTCAATTTTGTCATTCTACTTAGGGTTATATATATCACATTTTGATTGATTTGAACTCCGATTAATTACATGCTATCTCTATAGCATTTTGACAATTTAATTTTTTTAAATGTCCATTTCATCGTCTTAGTCGGCTTTTTGCTATTTTCATCCCTTTTCTGTATTAGACGCATTGTTTTTATTGTTCTACTATAAGCACCCACTAGATATTAAACAAATTACTAACTCTTGGTTTCCTTTTTTATTGGTTTTAAATTGCCATCCATGTATCTCTTGCGCCCTAAATTTAGCTACTTCATAAATCACTTCTAAAGTACTTCTTAGTTATGAGGCTTTCTTGGCTTTGACATAAACATTGTTTTGAGCTACAATATCTCTAATAGACTCGTCAGGGTGTGAGCAAGAAGACTTATGCCTGTTTTATTAGCAAGATCGACGAATTCTCTAGCACTGCAAAAGTTCTTTATCTTCATTTTACTTTTACTTGTCTACGAATTTATATTTTAGACGTAAATTGGAAAAAGGAAGTTATTCAAAGTTAGTGGCTAAGAATGAGAAGGAGTTGACAAATAACTATAGGTTATCCACGAAATTTAAAATATACATCTTATTGGTGAATTATAGTATAATTACATATAAACATGAGCTATGTAATTGAATTAATATCAATTAATAAATTCCTATTCTAATATTCTTATACCATCATATAGTCTGATTTACCGTATCTGTTCTAAACTTTTTGCTTTGTCGAATTATTACGCCCCACTAAGCTTGGTGCATCTTTTTACTACAATCTTTGCTTTTACATTTACTAACGAAAATATCTAAAATGTAGGCCAAAAGATCGGATTCACTTCTATTTCTTCAGCTAATTAACGTATGCTTTGTCTTTGGAAGTGACTTTTCCTTTCTAGGCATAGATGAAATCTCACAGCGTTTCCCTGCAGATTTTTGCTTTAAATAGGTGCTCGGTTGAATTGCTTTTTTAATAGCTAAGTTCATACTAGGTTGCGTAATGCGATATAGGGCTGAAAATGTGGTCGTTGCTGTTTTGCTGACTGCGAAAGCATTTATAACTATTCCTCATTCATTGCTTATATTTTATCGGATTATCTTCCTTTAGATAAGGCTAACTGCTAGATTACAGAACCAAGAGTAGTTGAAATGTAGAGCTACTATTTATTGGAATGGGTTGACCTCGTTTTCGCAACTTGGTCTCGTTTTTAAAGTGGCTTATTTGAATGCACCTTGTACGAAGTCCTTTGCCACTGTAGTTATCATAATTCCAGATATCAGACCCTGTACTTGGTACATTCTCAGACATTTCACCGGTATAATCAGCAAGTCTTGCCATTTATTAGGAATGTACTTGGATACTTTGTTTTTTTAAAATTATTTAGTCTCGATATAATAAAGCAAACCGGCCAAACTGTTTTTTACTGCGTAAGTGGAAGTCTCTTGTATTGCATCTGAATTATACAGTGGTCAAGAAATACGACTAACTATTTTATTTACTCAACTATCTGTTGTCATGAGAAATTTATAAGAAGCTTACATCCTAAATACATTTTGGATAAAGCAAGTGCATTTATTCGTATTATGGTTTATATTAGGTCTCGTGATATATGTAACCCTTAAATCTGATTTTGCTACTATAAAATAAGGATCTCTATCCATTTCAGTGAAGCTTTTGTCCCACAACTTAGACATTTCGCTGAATGTGTTGGTGGCCCGGCTTGTGGTCACCAGATCCTAGTGATTCCTCATTTGCCACTGCCTTCTGTCTTAGGTACTGTTATTCTAAGTTCGTAATTAATCCTGTCTTACCAACTTTCTCAGGTATAGTTTATCATGGGTGAATATCGTGTTAACATCCCGCTTTGAACTTTATGCTAGAAACCAAAGCGTAATCATTTTCACTTGATACTCATTGTCATATTTCTAGCCCAAAAGCATCTTTAATTTATTGTAGATATTTTCCATTATAAATGAAAAACCCTTTAGCCAAAATTTTCTTTAAACGAATTTCTATAGCTGTCTGTCAGGTTGTTTGCCAGCCTCTGACAGTAAGGCCTAGGGACGATTCTATGATACTTATTTAAAATATTCAAACAGTACTATTGTTATCTCGCCGCGTAGTTTTTTTAAGTTTCGCCCCTTATATCTCCAGCTTCCTTAATAATCTACATCCTATATAGCCCATCTATCCTAATTGACGGAATTTTTTAACGTTTCACAATCCCTTTTATTCTTCTTAACTTATTTGATGGTTGCATTCTTTTAATTATTTAAAATTCATTTTTTCATGCCTTGATCTGGACTACTGTGGCCTGATCTTATTACTTTATTATTAATTTTCCACCTCCCGCTTCATCATCTACGCCCTAAAAATCATCTTTTTTATTTATGCTTTGTTATTCAGGCGTTCATCTGTACACATACGCTGGCGACGTATATGCAGAGTGTCTCTCGGATAGCAGTGTATTTGTCCAGTCGCGACAATGTAATGAGTGTCATCATTTCCATCCAACCACAGTAGTTAAAATACCTCCTGGTTGTTGCTTAAAGATCTTTTCCAATCGTGAATTCGCTGCTCTGCTTCACCTGACTGTGTCTCGGGGAGTCGAAGCTGTCTACGACCTTGTCAAGCTGTGCACCATACGTATGAGCTTTGTAAAGGGCTGGGGCGCAGAGTATCACAGACAAGACGTCACTTCGACGCCCTGCTGGGTGGAAATCCATCTCCGAGGACCCTTCTTCTGGCTGGATCGTGTTCTCCGTCAAATGGGGCCCTCACAGAATCCTATATCTTCAATATCATAATTTTGTTCTTGGAATTTTTTATTCTTGAAGCTATCATTACATCTACTGCTTTCGGACATCCCTTCAATAATCAGCCAAATTTTATATCAAACACTATCATCACAATCTTACGTGATGACCTTAAAAGGTCATGGGCAAATGCATGGTATATGCTTAGTATTTTAATCTAAACTAGGCCTCATACACATTATTGTCTTACCTCAAACTATCTTCGATTACTTTTTTTCCAAATATTGCACATATTCTCATCATAGACACCACTTCCTTTTTGTATCTATATCATTTATTTGGTCCAGCATGACCCTCTAATTGGATAAATGAGGAGGCTGGTTGTCTTTCTCTGGCTGACTTTCCCCTCAAAAAGCGCCACATCTTTTAGTCTGTCTCCTTTTACCCCTATATTCAGAAACCTGCTAAGAGTTAAAAATGGCTATCACTGAAATAATATACCCCTTTTCTTGGAGTTAAATTCTCGTCTCTTTTATACTTGTATTTTACCCCTAGCAAATTCCTTTAAACCCCACTTAAAATGCACATCAATGAATTTAACAAGGTCAATCCAATCTTGAAATATCACTAGTATGGTATTCTTTTCCAAACGCATTTTTGATTCTTTCAGGCTTTAAAATAGGCCTCTTGCGGTCTTGTCAATCAAACTAGATAGCTAGTCGTTTGTACAAAGTATAGCAGCTATTTAATTTTTTTATATTCCATATTTACTCATCCTTTTAACTTTATTCTTCTCTTACTCTCCTCATCAGCATCTCAATTTTAGCTCCTACGCTAATCCATACTTCTCGCAGACCTCATTCACCGGCAGCTGATTACCGTTGCTCAGGTGGCTGTGATTCGTCTGGTAACAGAACAATGAACCTCTTTAAGGCTGTGATTTTGGCTTCTGTGATATCGAATTCCTTTGTCGTTCACTACGCCTTTACAAATCCTTCTTAGTTTAGGCCTTTTACATTTAAATTTTATAAATTTATTTTACTTGCAGCATTACTGTGGCTCTTATCTCTATCCCTCAAAT